TGCTTGCATTTGTAAATGTGCATGTGTGTGTTTATGTGAAAGAGAAATGATGAAGCAACCAATTGCAATGATAAAAGAGACAATAATGAGTAGAACGTAGTAGAATAGCATATATAGCAAAACTAAGTCAAATGTCACGCCTTGTGATGTCATCACATGCATCAAACTTTGGGGTCATAGTGCACAGAAAGTGATTACGTCATTGAGTCATAGGAAAATGTAACTAACCCTGCATCTCAATGTTCATACTATCCATCCTAAATAGTATGTGAGATTAGAATAAGTGTGTCCCAAAGCATAGTATGTTAAAAAAAGAGTATGCCAAAAGTCCCCGGATGGTCTACTATTTCAGGTCGATTTTTGAAGTATGGATCCGTGCACACTCTAATGGCTAAAATTGCCCACAATCCATTGCGCTTTGGTGAAGGATTCAGTCCGGAACTACAAACTATAAAAACTAGAAACGTGGCGGATGCACGTGCTCGACGGTTAGGTAGAGAGGTTTACAAAAAGGGGTTTGAGTTACTAATAATCAACATTTAACCTCGTAAAAAAATATTTATTTATTGTTATCCGTGTTATATTTAATCTGCAACAGCAATGTGAACTTTTATAAACATCCATTTGGTCGTTAACTTTTAAATGCATCATTATGCAGAAAATATGAGCAGAGTTCTCGGCATGAAAGACCCACGGCTGGCAGATCATCGAGCTACTTCTTTTCTCTCCAGTACGGTAGGAAGTTAAATTAAATGAAATGTGGAGGATGTTAACTGTGACAAGATGATTGACAGGCCAGTTTACAGTGACAGGGTGCGTGTAACAGGTGCGACAGAGCGGTCCTTTAAAGACGCAATTGTGTGATGTGATAATATGTCCCAAAGCTTGCCTGCTCTTCTACACAACACTCAAAAGTGTGTACTTTTTCTTCACCAAAAGAGTACATACTTTAAGGGCATAGTATAAGTAGGCACATTGAGACGCAGCATCAGTATCAGCTACCGACCACAAATCTATAGAGCACAATGCATTTTAGTGTTTTTTGTTGCAAACGCATACTATGCAATTTGTGAAAAGGGTGAAAACAATGCAACAGGGGCGCTCCCGTCGGTTTTATAGGGTTAAAAACCTTTATAAATGATCTTGATCGTGATCTATAACTTGAGATGGGTGCCGCCATGTTTGTTCACACTGCAGTTTAGAGAGTCCTGTCAGTCAAGATTCAAGATTATTTTTCAAGCATTTATTCTCATGTGTACAGTGACAAAAACAAGTTTCCCTGTACTATGAAATTATTTTTTTGCTGTTTACAGTGAATGCCAAGACAAAAACTATGTAAAAAATAAACACACACGTATACACACACAAACATAATAAAAAAATAAAACTATGCCGCATAATTAGAAATATAGACTATGTAAATATAGAAATATAGACCATGTACATATGAATGTGCAAGTGTACAATATTGACTTCTGTGCAAAACAATAGTATAGTAACGTGCAAATTGAATGCAACTGTATGATAATAATAGCAGCGGTAACATTAACAATGTGCAAATTGAGATGCAGCTACTTGATAATAATAGCAGCAGTAACATTAACAAATGTGCAAAATAGGGGCAGTGGAGTCCCGATGATCTTCTCAGCAGTCTTTACCACTGTTTGCGGTCCTTCACAGTAGTGCTGCCATACCACACGGTGATGCAGTTGGTCAAGACGCTCTCAACAACAAAGCTGTAGAAGTTGTTGAGGATCTTAGGTGACATGCCAAACTTCCTCAACCTCCTCAGGAAGTACAGCTGCTGTTGTGCCTTCTTAACCATCTGGGTGGTGTTGAGTGTCCAGGTGAGGTCGTCACTGATGTGGACCCCCAGGTATTTAAAGCTGCTCACCCTCTCCACTTCAAGCTCTCGGATAAACAGTGGCTGGTAAGCTCTCGGATAAACAGTGGCTGGTAAGCTCTCATCTCCTTCCTCATGTCCACTATCATCTCCTTTGTCTTGTCTGTGTTGAGGGCGAGGTTGTTGTCCACCATGTCACAAGATTGGCCACCTCTCTCCTGTAGGCCGCTTCGTCCCCGCCAGTGATCCGTCCTATCACTGCAGTGTCATCAGAAAACTTCAGGATAATGTTGTCCTTGTGGCATGTGACACAGTCATGTGTGAACAGTGTGTAGAGGAGGGGACTGAGAACACACCCCTGTGGGTTTCCAAAGTTTGTTATGATGGTGGCTGAGATCCTATTTCCAATCCTGACAAACTGCGGTCTGCCAGTCAGGAAGTCTAGGAGTGTAGGGTGAGGGTGTAGGGTGTATTCCAAGTGCAAACAGTTTGTGGGTGAGTTTATGGGGGAGGACCGTGTTGAAGGCGGAGCAGTAGTCAATAAAGAACATCCTGATGTAGGTGTCCTTATCTTCCAGATGAGAGAGGGAAATATAGAGTTCAGCAGCAATGGCGTCTGATAGGGCTGTGCAATTAATCGAAAAACAATTTTGATTTAGATTTTGGCCTCCAACGATTATGAAAATACAATAATTGCGATTAAACGATTATTCCGCACCTTTTCCAGTGCTGCGCTTTCGTTCCTCCATAAAAGCCCAATTTCACGTGCAAATAAGTAAAATCATGTAACGTGACTTTTGCAAAATGGGACGTGCTTGATTTATATAAGTATATTTATTCATGTTTTTAAAAGCGTGAAAGAGAACTTGAGCTGCTCCTCAGGAAGATATATGCGCTCAGAGACGGAGCAGAACACGGACATGTAAAGTCATCTTTTAGCTCAAGGTGCGTGCCTAAATGGTCAAATACACGCAAAAATGTGTCAAAATGTGGCGCTTAGTGATTATTCATGTATACCTTCGTCAGTCAGTCATGTAATAAATTAACATAAAGAGTTGAGAAAGAAAATACGCGTGTAACGTCAATTGGATCCGTGCGGCTCTTAAAGTGACAACGGGCTATTTTCCTGCTGCGACTGTGTTCTTCCAAAAGAGGACGATATCTGCTTCGTCATGCCTAGAGCTGATCCGTGCTGGTTACTAAGGAAACACTACAACTTCATGCTGTGGATCGCCGAATCGGCTTTCACTGTGGACGAAGCGGAGTCCAGCCCGGGGTCGTCACATGTGGTTGCCGCAAGCCCGCCGGACGCTCCTTCGTCGAATCCGCCGCCTCTGCTCACTCTAGCCCTCGGCTTCTGCTCACTCAAGGCCGCCGTGTGTGACGCTATGTTTCGTTGTGAAAGCGAAACTACTTTGTTTGGCCTTCCAAAAATGGACACGACTAGAAATCAGTGGCTAAGTTGTATTTACAACACTGTTCCAGAACACTTCAACCCAAATATTCAGATCTGTGCAGCACATTTTATGGAGGACCGTTTCCTGATCCTGGGAGAGTAGACTACAATGCCGGCTGTTCTGACTGTAAGTACGTGTAATGAGGTTCTTAGTAGGGAAGGAAGACGTCGAAGTCAGCGTGACTGAGGCTTGGGTAATTTATTATACTTCCCGTAGGAATAGCGAAAACAGGCAGGTGCTCAGGCGCTGCAAAACAAACAAAACTTATATAGCACTTCTGCGGTTCTCTAGGCCCAGGCCACAGTCTTTCCCCCCACGAGTCCTCAGTCTGTCTCCTCTCTCTCTCTCTGTTTCCCCTGAGGCTTTTTACGGTCTCTCCAGGCCAATCACTGAAACGAGAAGCAGGTGAATGTCATTTTGCACTTGACCAGGCCCAGGCCACAGTCTTTCCCCCCACGAGTCCTCAGTCTGTCTCCTCTCTCTCTCTCTGTTTCCCCTGAGGCTTTTTACGGTCTCTCCAGGCCAATCACTGAAACGAGAAGCAGGAGAATGTCATTTTGCACTTGACCTACTTACTCACCGCTCGTCTCCGACCGCTCTCTCCCGCTGCAGACCCCGCTAAACCACGCCCCCCTCGCCACAGTACATTTTTTATATTTAAAGAGTTTTTATATTTTATATATTTAAAGTGAGTTTTTTGGGCAGTGTAGAGTAGGGCTTGTTGTTTGTCATTTCTCTGGTCACAAATGCAGACATGGTTTTATGTTTACGCAGTGCGATGCAATGCAACGTGTAAAAAGACAGTAAGTCATTATACTCCATAATTATGTCCCCGCTGGATGCAACGAACGCCTCGTTTATGATGGGTTTTCATGTTTTTGTCTCGTCGCTCCGGCTGGACAGGGCATCATCACAGTCTGGTGAGGGGCGTAACATTTCCGTCACACGCTTGAGGTATTCGGCCAATCACAACGCACTGGATAGCTGGCCAATCACAGCACACCTCGCTTTTTTAGAACGATGAGCTTTGTAAAAATCTACGCGTTTCAGAAAGGCGGGGCATAGAGGAGAAACAATAATGTACAGTATGTGGAAAATAATGGGTTTTTTTAACCTTAAACCGCATAAACACATTTCATTACACCAAATACACAAAATAATGTTCTTTTTAGCAGCATCATATGACCCCTTTAAAATGAATCAAACAACAAAAAACAAATTCAAAATTACACATTGGTCTTGAGTGAAGGACTTTTGTAGCTTTAATAAGAAACAAAAAAGTTTAATTCTTATAGTGAAGACTATGCTGTTTTATTTTACATTTGATTATTTATTTCTGTAGTAGGCTGTAAACTGCTTGAGACTTGCATAAAAAACATTAAAGCACAGTTTGTTTCATTTGTATCTTTTCATTCTATTGTATTTGTCCTTTGCTTTTTTATTACTGACAGTTTAATTCTTTTCAATAATTTTTAGGACTTTTTGTTTGTTATATAATATATAAAAACTAATATGTATAAAACCTTTTAAAATATAAAATGTATGTTTTTTTAGGCCGGTGTCCATCAGCGAATCTGCTGACGGTTTAAAATATTTAAAGTTTATAATAATTTTTATAAACAAGCTTCAGTTATTTTTTTATTCTTTCAATAAGACTTTTAGTAAGCATGTGTTACTGAGAATCTGCCTCTGTTCTTCAGGTGTGTTTGGTGATAAAGCTGCAGTGTCAATATCAGTAATGGAGGGAGATTCAGTCACTCTTCAGGCTAATGCTGAGACACAGAATGATAATGTGATAACATGGAATTATAATGATACAACCATCATAGCTACATTCAAAAGAAATCATGGACGCTTCTCCGCAAAAGAGGATGTTCTTGATGGGAGATTCAGAGGCAGACTGAAGCTGGACAATCAAACTAGATCTTTGACCATCACAAACACCAGAATAACAGACTCTGGACTTTATCAAATAAAAGGAAACACCATTTACAGATTCAGTGTTTCTGTCTATGGTAAGTCAACAGTTATAGTGTAATTTACCTTTAAATCAAGGAATGAATAATACATTTGTCTGCTCTGCATGTATATGATATATACTGATTTGTTAGTGATCAAAGACACATTCATGTTCAGCAACTATTCACACAGCTGCATCGAAAGATTTAGTTTGTGCTCTCTAACAAAATGGGTGAAATACTTTTATCCATTTTTATCAATTTTTACCCATTTTATGCTTATTAGTACAGTGGGCGAGAGAGCTCAACGCAATGCAAATTCAGAAAACACATGCAAAATAGAAAAAGCACCAGCAAATCAAGAAAACATCTTCATCGGTTTGACAGCAGGTGCTGCAAATGCAGTATTATTTATTATCAATTATTTATTACCAGTAAATGAACCTGCAACATATTAAACTGAAACCACTCTTTTATCTGAAAAGCAAAAACAGATGTTATTTTACAAAAGTAAGCAAACTGCAACAAAGTGAGAACAAAAAACGAATCTCCAATCACCTGTGAGCAGAATAGGATTGGAGAGATGGAAAAGGAGAAAAACACAAGAGCTTTAAAGGGGAACTGTTACATAGCCACATATTTATAGTCTACTAAAATAAAGGCTATTCGAACCAAATGTATAGGCTATATAGTTTTAGTATTAGTATAGGACTACTTGTTTTTTTATTACAGCCCATGATAATTAATACATTACAAAAACATTGTAAAAATTAAAAATTAGGCTAAAAGAAAGTCATCCCACTCCTCTACGTCTACTTCTATCATCGCTTGGATTACAGTGTCACGCGCCTTCTTTTTGAAACGTGATTTTCTCCAATGAGGGGGAGGAGGGGGCGGAACATTTGGCAAATTAAGCTGCAGCACTTATATTATTGTACTGGTTGGCTATTAACTGTGAGCAATGCATTGGAGAATACGGCGAACATAAATAAAGAAACGAAGTTGCTTATCAGATTTCCCTAACAAGCAACCATATTTTTAAAAATAAGCCCAAAAAAACGCAACCTGCGACCCCGGATTTTTTCACGCAACTTTACAAAAAAAGAAGCCCAAAGTCGCGTATAATACGCGGACTTGGCAACTATGGGCGCAACTATAACAACATGTGAATAATCCCACCCATTCTAAAGTGCTACTGAACTGCAGTGGAAATGCAAGTCGAACCGTGCCGTGCCGAGCCGAGTCGTACCACGCAGTGGAAAAGCGCCATAAGACTATGTGCCATATTTCTAGACAGAAGAGCGGCACCACCCCAGGAGGGATAAAGACCATCTCTTTTCAACAGGTCAGGTCTGCCCCAAAAACTCGTCCAATTGTCTATGAAACCTATGTTATTCTGCGGGCACCACTTAGACATCCAGCCATTGAGGGACGACAGTCTGCTATGTATCTCGTCACCACGGTAAGCATGGAGGGAACCAGAACATATTACAGTGTTTGATATCATAATTGTAAGTTCACACACCTCTTTAATGTTATTTTTAGTGATCTCCGACTGGCAAAGCCGAACATCATTAGCACCGGCGTGAATAACAATCTTACTGTATTTACGTTTAGCATTAGCCAGCACTTTTAAATTTGCCAAGATGTCAGGCGCTCTGGCTCCCGGTAAA